GAGAGGGGGCGGGGGGGGGGGGGGGAGGGGAGGGAAGGAAGGGGGGGGGGGGGGGGGGAGGGAGGAAAAAATAGAGAAGGAAAGAGAGGCTTTATAGTACAGTGGAACAAGCGTTGACCTTGGAGACAAGGAGTTATTAGCTGGGTGCTCAAGGCAAGAATCTCCTAATCTGTAGGAGTAAGGACTGGCCTAAACAACCCCTCCAGACCCTTCTGGCTAGCTCATTTTCTGTTCTAAGATGAGGTGTCATGCTGTAGAGACAAGAGCCCTGGACTTGAAGTCAGAAGACATGGGCTAGGGTTCTAATTCTGCTGCTTGTTCCACATGTGGCCTTGCACAATCAATCAATAAACATTTACTAAATTGCTACAGGACAAGCACTGTGTGCCACATGAGTCACTTACACCATGTGAGCCCCTTTTTCCTCATCTGTAAAATGGAAATAATAATTCTTTTACTAGCTACCTCACAGGGAAGTCCTGAGGAAAACTATTCATAAATCTTAAAGGTCTTTAGAAATGTGATCACCACCACTCTGACAGTCTGTGTTCTCAGGTTCTTCTCAGCTATGACATTCTGTTTTCTAGCGAGCTAGGGGACATGATGTGTAGCATATTGGGCATTGAATTCCAAAAGACCCAAGTTTGAATCCTTCCCCAGACACTGATTAGCTGTGTGATCCTGGATGCTTGACTTCTCCAAACCTCAGTTTCCTCTTCTGTGGAATGGGAATAATAATAGTATCTACCTCCCAGAACTTTTGTGAAGATGAAATGAGGTAATATTTGTAAGGCACTTTGCAAACATCAAAGAGCTTTAGAAATGCTGACAGTTATTATTGTTCTAAGGTTCTTTCTAGTTCTGACATTCTATGATTCAAAGGTTTGGTTATTGTTTTAGGGGAGGAGGGTGGAGAGAGAGAGAAAGTGTTCCAGAGAGAGGGTCAGGCAACCCTACCATGGCCCCCATTGAGGAAGGCCAGCAGCATGGAGGGGAGCTGGGCCAAGAAGGCCAAGGGCAGCTTACAAAGGTCAGGGCCCGACAGCAGTTTTGCTGGCTGAACAGATGGGGTGTTGATGGCTTCCCAGCTGAACACCTCATGACAGGCAGGATAATGGGAACAGACGCCGCAGTCTTCCCGGGAACAGGAAATTACATGACATGAATCTCATGACTGAAAATCTGCAAGTATAAATATAGAAAGCAGGGCCTGTAAATTGCTCCTTCTCCCTCCTCAATGTCCCCCACACCACACCTCCCCTGATCCTTCCCAGGCCGTCACAGGGCTTCAGACAGAGCCAGTTTTTGTTCTCTGCCTGCCTTGAATACAAACTCCCTGAAGGAGAAGACTCAGGCAGGCTTTTTTAGCCTGGACGCTGGTAGCCATCGCCAAAGAATATGGTACCCTGACTCAGTCATCAAGGAGGCCTTCCTTCAGTTCAATTTAGCAAAGTTTATTCAATGCAGATCATTTATTACATTTATCAAATTCCTGCATGCAAAGCACTGTGCTCTGTGCTCAAGAAGAGAAAACATTTAGATAAGACACAGATCTTGCCTTCACAGGGCTCACATTTATCCTTATGTCATAAACATAAATAACTACAATATACAATATCAATATTATATACATATTAATTAACATGGTAAATATATTAGGGAGGAGCAGAGTACAATATAGGACAGCTAGGTGGTGCAGTGGATAGAGTGCTGGTCCTAGACTGAGGAAGACTTATCTTCCTGAGTTCAAATCTGGCCTCTCCCTGACTACTACCTCCCCACAGACCTTGAAGGAGACAGCCTAAGACTTTGAAACTAAGAACCTTGGGAATAGCAATGCTTCCAGCCCAATGACCCTAGCCATCACTCCAGGGAAGCAAGCCCTATGCCGAGCCACTTCCCCAGATGATGCTCTGAAGCCCAGACTAGAAGCAAAACTGGTGGTCTGGGTGATGTTGAAGGGGAGGAACAGAGATCTGGGAAAGTTTCATGGAAAAGGTGGCAGTTGAGTTAGGTTGAAAAGATCAAGTAGGAATTCAACAAGCTAAGGGCAAGGATGAAGGATATTCATAATTACAAGATCAGAAGACCTGGAAGAGATCTGAGACCATCTAGTCCAACTCCTCAACCTTAGAGATAAGGAAACTGAGGGAGGTTGAATGACTTGTCTAAGGTCATACAAGTAGTGCCAGGGGTGGGACCTGAATCCAGGCACATTGAATCTTGGACTAGTGCTCTTCCCACTATACCACACTGTCTCCCTTTCTAGGCATAGGAAACTGGCAGGGAAAACACAGGCCATGTTTGAGAGACAGAAAGGAGTCCACTTTGGTTGGAATGTAGAGTGAAGGGAGTGGGATGATATGAAATAAGGCTGGGAACATAAGGCAATATCAGCTTAAGGATGACCTTAAATTCTCAAAGTAAAGGTGTTTGAAATTCACTTAATAGATAATAGGGAGCCGCTGGAGCTTTTGAGCAAGAATGGCCAGAGCGGTGTTTAAAGAAAATAGCTCTGTTACCTTGTGAAACATGCAGTAGAGTAGGAAGAGAGCAAAAGTGGGAAGACCTATGAAGAGACTAAACATGAAATCAATAGGATTTGGCAATTGATTCAATTCAATTTTACAAGCATTTATTCAGTACCCATTATGTGTGGAGCCCTGTGCTAGGCACTGGAGATACAAAGGCCAAACTAAACCTATCCTTGAGGTACTCATATTCCATTGATTGGATCTTAATGGTCCGTTAGAACAACTCTCTGTTCAATCATTCAACAAATATTTCCCAAACATCTACAGCATGCTTAATGTTGGTACGTGGAATACAAGGTTTTCCCATGATCTAGTAGGGGATCCAAGGATGCCATGGTCTGGTAAAGGACTAACACAGGGACACAGATCTTCACAATACAAGGTGAAGGATGCTGAGGCTTTTGTGAGAGAGACAAATTGCTGTGGTATTTCAGGCAGCAGATGGAGAGATCACATCTGTTTGCTGGATCAGGAAAGGCTTGGTCATATCCTTTGGGACTGATAGGCTTACACTGATTCACTCATACTCTCTCATTGTCTCCCAGTCTAACTATGGACCAGAGGGAAACTAACTCCCTTTTTTAGTAATCCACCCCCTATCCCAGTGTTCATAATCATTTGGTGTTCTGGAACAATATGAACCTAAGTGTGTTTCCAGTCAGAGATCAATATGCCTCAGAGGTTCTGATCCCATATTTCCCATTTACTACCTGTGTGACCTTGGGCAAATCATTCAAGCTCTCTGGGCCTCAGTTTCCTCATTTGTAAAATGGGGGAGGGAAGATTGGATTAAATGCCCTGTAGGATCCTTTCCAGTTCTAAATCTAGGCTCCTATGATCCTAAGACTTTGGTTTCCTTACCAAAACTCTACAACCAGGTCAGCTCAAAGCAACTAACTCTCTTTTGATTTCTTCTGACCCAGGTAGCCAGGACAAGACAGGGAGGCGTCTGCTCCAGGTGACTGCAAGTGGCTCAGCGTGGGATGCACCATGGTGCTCAGCCAGAGAGGTCACCAAGCTCCTCATCTACTTGTGCTCCATCCCCAGGTACAGCAATAGGTGGTATCTGAAAGTCAGACAACAAGCATGGGCTGGACAATGCCAGATTGTCACCCAACAAGTCAGTAACAGGGTTAGAACTAGAAGCCAGCTGGGCCTCTTCACTTCTTCCTACTTCCCAAGACACATATTTGAAATGACAAAAATCAATAAGACTTGGTAGTATGGTTAAGGGAAAGAGGCCTGGATCTGAATCAGAAGCCCTGGGTTCAAATTCTCCCTCAACTACTTATTTCATGAATAAGTACTTTCCCTTCTCTAGGACTCAGTTTTATCATCTGTAGTGAAAGGGTTAGATTGAATGGTTTATGAAGTCTTGAATGAGGGAAAGGGAAGAGTCAAAGATGACTTAGGTTTTAAGTCTGAGTAAATGATACTATCCCAACTCCATCCCCACAAGAGATAAGGAAGTCCAGAGATGGAAAAGTCCAGGGGAAAGAGGAACATACTGGGTCTGAAGTATTGTTGGAATATCAAGTTGAGTATGTGGCCTTGGAACTCAAGCAAGGTGAGAGAGCTACTGAGAATTCCTCTTTTAAGAGGTAGGAAACTATAGAAGGAAACAGCAAAGGGATCCCTTAGAGTTCCAGGAAGGCATCGTAGAGGTGATGACCTTGAGCTGAGTCTTGAAGGAAAGTAGAGCTTAACTAAGTAGAGAGGAGGGGAAAGGCATTACAGGTAGAAGGAAAAGCATGAGCAAAGGTGTAGAGACAGGAAAGCCTACAGGGGTCTGGTGGGGTCCACCCAATTCCACCAGGGTCCCAATGGACCAGATTTATCTCCATCATCTTTCCTAGCTGCCTTTCATATTTTAAATATATCCCCTCAATGAAGCTGCCTTGCTTTACCATCTTGTGTGCTCCATGTTTCCCCGTACAAGATTTTGGCATCTGAACCTTCCTATGTCTACATTTAGATCACCCACCTTCACCCCTCCCCCCAGAGACAGGAGCAGACCTGGGCCTATAAATGAGAGAGAGAGAGAGAGAGAGAGAGAGAGAGAGAGAGAGAGAGAGAGAGAGAGAGAGAGATCATACCATAGTAGAAAGTGCAGATCTAGAGTCAGGTTCTCTGAAAATCTCTTCCCCTTTCTGAGCCTCAGTTTTCCCATCTGTAAAATAGGGATGATCATACTTATATCATGGAACCACAGAATCTCAGAGTTGAAAGAGACCTCAGAGGGCAACCCCTAAGTGAGCAAAATCCACTCTACCACATACCTAGAATGCCAATAAACTTTTGGTTGAAAAAATGAGGAGCCTGCTGTGACAACCCCTTCTACTTTGGGGCTGTGACAAAGATTTCTTTGTATCAAGAGTAAATTTGACTTTCTGCAACTTCCATCCACTGCCCATCTGGGACCAAAAAGATAAATCTATGCCCTTTTCCACATGACAGGCCTTCAAATATTTGAAAACAGTAGTCTTGCCCCCTCCCTAACAACCCCCATGGTAGTTTCCCTACTCTACTAAATGAAGAAGCCCCAAGGAAGCTCAAAACCCTTGAGTCACCCTGCCAGAGTAAGGCCAGCAGTTATGGTCCAAAGTCCCTTTTCCTACCAACCAGAAATTCCCTGGGGAAATCTTCCTTCCCCCAACTCTCATGACAGTACTAGCCCCCAGGTCCAGACTCCTTGCTCCCTTCCCTCAATACTGAGTTCTCCTATGAAAACCCACCAGGACTTTACTGGTTGGTGAGGATGCTCCATTGCCTACAGGGCTCTGGTGGGGTCCACCCAATTCCACCAGGGTCCCAATGGACCAGATTTATCTCCATCATCTTCCCTAGCTGCCTTTCATATTTTAAATATATCTCCTCAATGAAGCTGCCTTGCTTTACCGTCTTGTGTGCTCCATGTTTCCCCGTGCAGGATTTTGGCATCCGAACCTTCCTATGTCTACATTTAGATCACCCACCTTCACCCCTCCCCCCAAGCCTCAGCTCAGATTCCTTTAACAGATACTTTAATGGCGTGTACCTAAGATCCTCCTTTTAGTACTCTCCATCTTACTCCCAATGTCCATCCCCAGAGGTGGCAGTCAGGCTTGAACACAGCCCTTCAGCTGTGGCCTGACCAGGATATATCACAGCAAGCATAGCATGGCCCCCCCACTCTTGGATGCTACCCTATGGACACTGCAACAACACTGTAAAAAACAAAAGTGATAGTGCATGCCAGTGCCCATAATGTCTCTACAAAATAGAAGAGATTGTGATCATGACTGTAGAGAGGATGAGGCCTGATTGGAGAGGTCCTCAAAAGCCAGAGAGGGGAGCTTGACCTTGATGTCATAGGCCAATCAACGACTTCCAAGGCAGAGGTTGATTTGGGGAGCCCAAGGGGGAATGGAAAAAAGGGACTTTAGAACTTAGAACATAAAATGTCAGAGATGAAAGAGACAGTAGAAGTCATACAGTCTAATCTTACTTGACATAAGGGGGAAACTGAGGCCCAGAGAGGGGAAATACCTTGTCCAAGGTCACACAGTGAATTGAGCTGAGCCAGTTGTCTCAGGCTTTCAGTCACAAGACCCGTTGCCTCTGGCTAGGCTTCTTTGCTTGGAGGCTCAAGTCAGGAGCTGGCAGGTTCCAAGAGGACATGGAAACACTCCAGGCTAATAAGCTTTGCTTCTGCAATCAGCTATTTGGAGCAGGGAGCCGGTGGGAAGAGAAGGGGGGATGGTATAATCTCTGGGCCAGTCTGGACCTTGTCCAGAAAGAGGCTGCTGCCATCTGCTGGATTTGGAAATCACTTCAGTCAATTTGGCAAAGAAACAGAGGGGATTTTTACCACAGTCTGAGATTGTCCTGTGGCCCAGGGGAGGAAGGCAGAGGGCAGGGTGGGAGGGTGGGAAGGTACACGGCGTAGGCAGGGGTAATCAGGGCTAAAGTGCTCTGTTGCTCCTCCTCCGACTCCTGTCTACAAAACTGAAGATCTACACCCCCAGACACCCCAACCCATGGGTAAATGCTCCCCTTAGGCATTCTGGGAATTTGGCCCAGCTCATGTCTCCTTCCCACAGGACAGAATGAACATCAGCATGTTCCCAGGTCCCCATTCCTACCTAGTCAAACATCCCTGACCTGTATCTGCCTGCCTGTGTACTATGTACATGAAGTAATGGGTGCCAGTTGGGTTAAGGTCTTCCCCTATCTGGGTGACATATTTGCATGTTAACTGGACCTTTCCATTCCTTAACCCAACAAGGTGATTCTCATGATGAATTTTAAGCAGAGCAGGCTGGTAGGAGAGGAATTTCTAGGCAGGGATCTTTTCAGTGCCTCTCACATGATATTATATAGACATTAGCAGAGCTATAAGAACTCCTCCAAGTGAACCTTAACTCCAAGAAATGAGCTCAGGAATGAAGGGGATGTGGTGTAAGCTCCTTCAGCTAGAAGTTAGGAGACTGATGCTTCGAACTTAACTTTGATATTAAATGAAAGTGACCTTAGACTAGTCACTTCCTTCTCTAGGCCTCAGTTTCCTCTTCCATAAAATAAGTAGGTTGGAATAGCGGATCTTCTAACTCTGATGGTCTGTGATCTATTAAAGACACAGCCAAACCCTTTCCCAGCTTCTACAGCTAGTGTCCTGGACATGGGGGAGCATGTTTTACCCACCAGAAAGGGAATCAGGGAGGACTGAGCAGCGGTGTGCTAGACAGAGGCAGTTTCCCTCTCAAGGATGGATATTTGTTTCCACCCTCCCCTGCCCCTGATTCTTCGAGCCTCTCTAGATCATCAGTTGACCCCAAAATGCTTTATAAGGATGAGAACTTTGCAAATGGGATAATTTGTCTAGGCCACTTGTGCCTGCGCGTCATATGTCAATGTATGTATGTATAGGTGTGCATGGGTGCCTATCAAGGGTTGAGTTCGCTTTTGTGTTTGTCTGTCTATCTCTGCAGGTCCCTGTCAGTGTGTGTCTGTATTTGTGCATGTGCAACTGTCTTGCTCACTGCATGTGTTTCTGGGCACAAACTCTTTGAAAGCAGATTCTCTGTTGTATCTGCCTCTGGCTCTCCAGTGGCTTAATAAATGAGTTTTGAACTGGACTGGATTGAATTGTACTATCCATACTTGTTATCTATCTGCTCAGGTCTGTACGTCAGTGAGCGCAAGCGAATGTGCTCTTATGTGTATGTCTCTGAAGGTTAAGCTTTGTGTGTATGTGTGTGTACGCATACATGTTTCTGGCTCAGCATATGTGCTTGTGTGCATCCATGTTTCTGTGCAAACATGTGATAATGAGATTTTTCTCTTCAATGAAGAATTCCCAGGGTAGCCCGTAGGTCCTGGCATCTGGTTCTATTTACCAAGGTGTGAGATGGTCTATTTTTCTTTTTGGGCCTCGTTAGAAATTATTTTAGAGAACCTGAGTTACATGTCCAGACACCAATTGAGGACAAGGAGCAAAACAAGTTTCCTCCCAGAATAAAGGAGTAACCAATCAATGACTTCACAGGCCCTTCTCCAAAGGCAATACTGGGCAATGCCCCACCTCCAAAAGCAACAGCTATTGGCTGCCTACCCCATCAGCCTAAAGACCTCATGGAAGATCTGGGGGAGGGTGGGGAGGCATCCCCACGACCTTCCGGGATCAAATGGAGGAGACCAAGTCACTGGGCAGAAGTACCGAGGGCCCACCCCATTGCCTCTGCCACCCAGCTGGCAGATGCCTAAAGGGAACATTTCAAGAATGGGTGAGGGGCATTCATTCCCCAAGCAGCCTATTGATTGGGTTAGGAAGACTTTTGTAAAATGAATGAGTTACAATGTTAAAACTCAAAGAGATAGAGCATAAACATAAAATACCATAGCTAGAATAGACCTTAGAATATAGAATGTAGAATAGAACAAATAACATATCAGAGCTGGAGAACTTAGAAAAGGGGTTCTTAACTTTGTGTCATGGAACCCTTTGGCAATCTGGTGAAACTTACTGATCTCTTCTCAGAAGAATTTTTAAATGCATAAAGTAAAATACATAGGATTACAAAGGAAATTAATTATATTGAAATTGAGTTACTAAATTATTTTTAAAAAGTTCACAGACCTCAAATTAAAATCTCCTGCCTTAGACTATAGAACATGGAATTTTAGAGCTGGAAGGGACCATAGACATTCTCTTATCTAATCCAACTTATTTTTTTAGAGAAGGAAACTAAAGTCCAGAGAGGAGAGATCATATAGCCAGTGAATGACCATATAGAGACGAGAACTCACATCTCCTAACTCTCAGCCTATTGTATTTTTCACTATACCATGCTGCTTCTGAAAGAAAGAAAGAATAAAGGAAGGAAGGAAAAAAGAAACAAAGAGAGAAAGAAAGATTTCTGATAGTTTTGTTCTGAAAATATTGCATTTGATCCTCATTCCCATGTAACACCAGGTCAATGAAACATCTACTATGGGCCAGGATCGAGAAATTCGGCTAGGAGGTAGCTAGGAGGAGGAGCTTATGAGGAGACATTTCTTCCTATTGGTAGAAAAGAGTGTACCTCACCATCCCCATCTCTTTCCCTCTTCCTGTCCTTTCTCCGCGTTATCCAAATGTGATTCACAATTTGACTTCTGACCCACAGGCAAGAAGCCAAGACCACAGGAGTGACTGTTGTGATTGATGCCAGGAAACAGCCCCCTACTCCCAGCTTGGTTAATGCTCTGAGAACAACACAGGTAAGTGGACCAAATACTAAGCTCAACTTAACAATATGAAATTTAATTGGGATAAATGTAAAGTCCTACTTGGGTTCAAAAAATCAACAAAAAGTACAGGAAGGGGAAGGCAGAACTAGACAATAGTTATCACCAAAAAAGATCGGAGGGTCCAGTGGACTGCAAGATCAATGTGAGTCAGCAGTGTGATAGAGCAACCAGAAAGTTAATTGGATCTTCCAGTGCATTAAGAGAGGCATGGTGTACGAAATGGGGGAATTGATAGACCTTACATCCTCTGCGTCAAACTCATGTCATATTGAGGAAAGGGAGTGGGAATGTTTAGACCTCAGTAAGAGAAATTTTAAAGGGAATATTATTATGTGAAAGAGGGAACAGACTTGTTCTGCTTGATGCCGGAAGGTAAGACTTGGATCAAAGGGCCCTAGTTACAAGGAGGCAGATGTGAGAATAAGCTTCCTCCTTAGAGTTGACCAAAAGTGGAATAGGTCCTCCTGAAAGCTCCCCATCGTTGGGCATCTCCCAACCCAACAGAAGGGAACTGATCAGGAATGTTGTAGAAGGGATTCATGCTTCAGGCAGTATTGCACAAGATGCTTGCTGAGGTCTCTTCCACCTCCGAGATTCTCTGCAAGACATGCAGTAGGGGAACGCTGAGCCAGCACTCCTGTACCCCAGCCGCCATCTTGCCCCTTCTCTGTCAATCTTTCCTGGTCTCATTCCATCAATTAGCAAATATGTATGCAGCATCTTCTAGACAGAAACATGAAATAAAAGGATCTTGGACCACCTACTCCAAACCCCTCATTTTAATAGAGGAAAAAACTGAGGCTCAGAGAGGAGAAAGAACTCGCCCAAGGTCAGACACAAAGCTAGCACTAGAACATATCTTCACATTCCCTGCCACATGGTGCTGTGTTCAGTTCCCACAGTGAAAAGAAATTGCTTATGTTACATTGATTCCAACTTTTTCGTTAATAAAATTAAATCCTTCAATGTTTTACAAATATGATCTCTAGTAGCTAGGTGGCACAGTGAATGGAAAACCAACCCTGGAGTCAAGACCTGAGTTCAAATGCTGCCCTAGATACTTCCTAGCTGTATAACTCTGAGCAGTCATTTAACTTCTTCTCAGCCTCAGTTTCTTCAGCTGTAAAATGGGGATAATACCTCTCAGAATTATTATAAGGATAAAAGGATATCATATTTGCAAAGTGCTTTGCAAACCTTCAAGTGCTACATTAATGCTTGCTATTAGGACACAGCCCAACCATGCCTTCTTATACTGAGTATCTCCTCCTTTTCTGCCACTTTGTCACCATCACTGCAGAGGTGGAAAGAGGCCGCATAGCTCTGAGGGTTACTTTGTGCTTGATTTCTGTCATGGTCACTATGGCCAAAGAGCTCATCGTGTGATGGCCTGTCTGCTGCTGAGTTTCTTCCCTACCCCAGCCCCTCTGGTTCTCAGGCAGCAGGCACAACCTGTCCCTGGGCCTTTCACAGTGCCATAAAATCTGAGAGTCATAGTGGCCCCCATATCCAAAAGGAGCTCCACAAAAACATACCTGGCCAGTGTTCTCCTGGACTCTGCTTACAGACCTCCAAAGAAGGAGAGACCATTCAGATTGTTAGGAAGTTTTCCTGGCCTCACACCTAAACTTGCCGCTTTGAAATGTCCATTATTGCTCTTAGTTCTGCCTTTAGGACAAACACAGCAAGTCCAAGCTTTGCTCCACATACCAGCTCTTCAAATACTTGAACAAAGCTGTCGTGTCCCCATGGCTTCTTATCTTGTCCAAGCTAAATGTCCCCAGCTTCTTCAAAAGATCCTAATATGATGTGGACTCAAGGGCCTCTCACCATCCTGGACTTTATCCAATTTATCGGTGTCCTTTTTAACATGATGCCCTGGCCTGAGCATAGTATTCAGATTAAGTCTGAAGAGGGGAAACTATATAGTCAGAATAAGTATACATAAAAGTATGTAACTATATAAAGGCCAGGCCTGGAGTCAGGAAAACTCCTTTTCATGAGTTCAAATCCAGCCTCAGAGATTTAGTAGCTATGTGACCCTGGACAAGTCACTTAACCCTGTTTGCTAAAGTTTCCTCATCTGTAAAAGGACCTGGAGAAGCAAATGGCAAATCACTGCAGTATCTTTGCCAAGAAAACCCCAAACGAGGTCATGAAGAGTCAAGCACAACTGAAAAATGACAACAAAAAACAATGTAAAAGACTTTTACCTTACCAAGTGTGAAATGTAGGTGTGGATGAGAGTGAATTGGGGATGACCTTAAGGAGGAGGCAGAGAATTCCCCCTTCAATGGTCCAGATGTGCAAAAGCTTGGGAAATACTTATCTGGATTGTATTCCCATGAAATCTCAATAGAGCAAATTATAAGGAGCCTTTCCCAGCTCAACTTAATGACATAATGGGTATTTTTTGGTCCTTAGCAAATAAGGACAGTTATGATCAGTCCATCACGTAATGGCCTCAATCTCTGAGATGCCTTCTTTCCCCTGTGTCCCACCTAGAACATCTGTGAGAAGAAGTGTGTGTAGGCCAGGGTGGGCAAAGTGAAAAGAATGAATGTGAAGCTACTGTCTCCTACAGGCCCTGGCCCCAGTCTCCATTCATAGTTTGCTACTCCTCGGGGAGAAGGAAGCGGCTACCCAGCTGGAGAAAGTACCAGGCATCCAGGTAAGAGCAAGAAGCATGAGGATTGGCCGAGGCAAGGGGAGAAGGGGGATGGGAAGAGAAGAGGGTTGGAACACAGCTCTCTCTGCTCTTGGTCCAGAGAAGAGAAAGCATTTTGGTGAGGTCAATGCTCCTTTCTTATAGTCACAGTGTGGAAGAGTGTAGGAATGAACAAGAGAGCAGGGGGATGATAGAAGGGAGGGAAGATTGGGGGAAGGGATAATCAGAAGCAAACACTTCTGAGGAGGGACAGGGTCAAAAGAGAGAATAGAATAAATGGGGGGTAGGATAGGATGAAGGGAAATATACTTAGTTTTTCACAACATGACTGCTATGGAAGCGTTTTGCATGACTACACATGTATAACCTGTATCAAGTTGCTTGCCTTCTCAATGAGGGTGGGTGGGGAGGGAGGAAGAAAATTTGTAACCCAAAGTTTTAAAAACACATGTTAAAAAAAATAAAAAATAAAGAAGGAAAAAAATAAAATAAAATAAAAAAGAGTGTAAGAACAAACAGCCAGGCATAGTCCCTTCTTTGTTTATTCTGTACCATTCTGATTGCAAAGAGAGAGGCTACCAGAAGAGCATGCAGTATGTCTTTGCTTCCCTGGATGTCTGTAGATGTCTGTCTGCTCGTGGGTCTGTGGTTATATTCTGTTCTGTGCTTCAGGGCTGGGACTCAGAGTGTGTTAGAGAGAAGGTCTAGTTGAATTGACATTCCCCACCTGGATTCCATTTCCCAGTCCCTACAAAGGGTGCATAGCAGCAAGCAAAAAAAAAAAAATGTGATGGTGGGGCATAGGGGATAAAAGGGAGGAATGTAAATCAATAAATTTCCTCCTCTTTCTGTGTTCTCTCTGCCTTTCCCCAAACTTGGCCTGTGCAGTCCCTCTGGAATGACTGATAAGAGCAGCAGTAGGGAGTGAAACAGGAGGATTTGGGGGGTAGGATGGGGTGAGAAATCTCTGAATAGTTATCCTTCATTGTTTAAAAAAAAAGGTGAAATGAAATATATTTCAAGAAAAAATGTGCTTATTAAGTCACTCCTATGTGCTCAGCCCTGGATTCAACTATGCTGGAGTGGTAGAGGGAGGGGAAAAAGAGGGAGGCAGGTGAGAATACAGAAGAAGATACGGCCATTACCCTTAGAGAGGTCACAGTCTAATTGACCAGACAAAAGGAATGCACATAAGACAAATAGGTGGAAACATGAGATGGCGAATGGTTAAGTGCCAGGATGATTGGTATAATATTTCACATTACTGTGGCATTAAAGGACTTGCAAAGAGCTTTCTACATAGCCCTGTAAGGCAGACAGGGTAATCAATCAACTAATAAACATTTATTAAGTGCCTACTATGTGCCAAGCACTGTGCTAAGCCCTGGGAGTACAAAAAGAAGCAAAAGGCAGTCCCTGCCCTCAAGCAGCTTACATTCTAATGGGGTAGACAACACTTAAGGGAAGATGAAGGGGGGTGGCCAGGGAATGAAAAAGAAGGTACGCAGCCACAAGCATGATGGAGTCCAGAGGAGTGCAACCTGATGGGAAACGAAGACATGACTGCCCTGGGTGCCCTCCTTATATGGAGGTTCTGGAAGAGACTTCTACCTTCCAAGCAGAGGGAGGGCCCCAGGAACAGAGGGTACATATTGGGTGTGAGTTCTAGGGCTTAAGTGATGTCCAGGTTGAAGGTCTTTCTGGTTTAGGGGGAGTATATAAGAGCAGAGCATCAACAGCCCGTGCCTAGGATGACGCTAACCCTAGTATTCATCTCTTAGTACTGCTTTTCCTGACCATTTGACCTCCCAGTGTTGGGTGCTGTCTGCCTAACCCACTTCATCCCAACCTGAACTATCTACTGATCTATCTACATTTGACAAAATTTGAAGTCATCATTACTCATCTAATCCAACCTGTTCCCAAACAGGGTACAAATTCCTTCTACTACATCCCTGACAAGTGATCATGCTTCCTCCACTTAAACATCTTGGGTGATAGGAATCTCACCACTCCCTAATTACTTTTGCACTGTTCTCATTGTTAGGAAGTAATGCCTTCTATTGAGCCCAAATCTACCTCGCCAAATGCTCCTAGTCTGCTCTCCGGGGTGAAACAGAACAAACCAGATCCAGCTTCCCTATGATAGCCCTTGGTCAGTGATCACCCACCTTCTGAGTCTTTTCATCTCCAAGCTAAGCAGCCTCAGCTCTTTTGACCGGTCCTAATATGACATGATCTCTAGCCTGCTCCCATGCTCATCACCCTCCTCTGTACACCTTCAGTTTGTCAATGGCCCTCTTATGACGTAGCTCCCGAAACTGAGCACAGTACTCCAGTCTGACCAGCAGAGGACAGCAGAACTCTTCTCAATTCCTTTGTTTGGCCACTGGTACCACTGCGATCATTGGAGAAGGAAATGGCAAACCATTCCAGTATCTTTGCTAAGAAAACCCCCATGGAAAGCTGGTCCATGGAGTCATGAAGAGTCAGACACAACCAAAGGACTCAACAACAACAGCAACAACCACTATGATCATAAGATCTCAGAAAAGGAGGCAGAATGGACCTCACAAACCATCTAGTCCAACTCCCTCATTTTAATGATAAGGAAATGGAGGCCCAATCCCATTGCCCCCACCTCACCCCCATTCCTTTAAGATAACAACTACAGGATAGAGCACTCTCTCATACATTCTATGAGGCACAGAGCATAGAATGCTGGACTTGGAGTCAGGAAAACCTGGATTTAAAACCCACTACAGATATACCAGCACTTAGCCTCTCAACCTCAGTTTCCTCAGCTATAAAATGGGTATAATAATAACATCTCCTTTACAGGGTTGTTGTGAGGATTGCATGAGATAATGTTTGCAAAATGCTTTGCAAACCTTCAAGTGCTATATCAGTATTAGCTTTTGAGTAAAACTTTCCGGAGTCCCTGCAATGTGCAAGATCATTCTGTGTGCTATATCACAATGAGAGAGTCAGAGATGAATAAGATAAGATCCTTATGCTCACGGAGTCAGGATACGGAAGGGAAGATGTGACGATGAACCCAGTTCTTCCTGAAGTAAAGGAGACAGAGGCCTCAGATTCAAATCCTGGTTCTGCTACTTCTTATCTATATAAATTTGAATAAATCCCTTAACCTTTGTCAGGCTCAGTTCGTCATCTGTAAAATGAGGAGTTTGGGCTAGATGCACTTTAAGGGATCTTCCAATTCTGAATCTACGGTCCTGGACAAGGATGGGCACCTCAGCCTCAAGCTGCCTTTAGGTGGAGTGGATCATGAATGTACTTTTCTTTCTCCAGGCTTCTGTTAATGTACTGGAGCCACCAGGGATAACTCAATGTTTCGAAAAGAACAAGTCCCTTGTACTTACTTCACTCCCCATGTATATTGTGGCAGCCATTCAGAGCTAGGCTGTTCTTTTAATGTGGTTCCCTTTAATTACCACCATATAACACCGTAATGAGTGCGCAAGCTCATGTTTCTGCTCTGCTCAGTAAAATGATTTAAAATGTCTCCATCTTTCTCGGGGGTTAGTAAACGTGCCGCAGCAGGCAAATTGTTACTTAGGGGACAGGCACATAAAAACACAGTAACAACTCCCTTCCTGGCCTCTGCTATTGTTCTAGGCACCCACCTCAAATCAATACAGTCAACGGATTTATTTTGCCTGTAAGCCTGCAGGACTCATCACTTGGTCCCTAGGAACAAAAGCTCCTTCCCATTAGATATGTCTTAGTGGGTGTCCCTTTTCCTATAGCAGGATGATAGCAGGGGACAGCAACCCACAACAAGCAGGCTGATTACAAAGAGACCATGGACTGGTTGTAGCCGCCAGCCCTAGCTTGTGAGAGTCACTGCTTTATTATACCTCAACCCTCAACTTCTATCCTGGCCCTCACACGCCCCAGCCCATGGCTTTTCTCATAAATTTAGAGTAGAGATTATGTTCATTGCAGATGTCAAAGATAAAAGGCACCTTAGAACGTAGAATGTCGGAGCTAAACGGGACTTCATAATGTAGAACACAGAATGTGGGAACTAGAAGGGATCTGGGAGTATAGGATAAATAGATGGATGAATGAATGAACTATGTGTGTGTGTGTGTGTGTCTCAATGCTGAAAGGGAGCTTAGAGCTCATCTAATCCAGCCTGCCAATTTTACAGGTATGAAAACTGAGGCTCAGAGAAGGGGATATGACTTGCTCAAGATTATATAGCAAAAAAAAAAGTAGCAGAGTTAGGTTCTCTGACTCCAGAACTCATAGATTAAGAGCTGAAAGGAGCCTTAAAGGAGCAGCTAGGGGGCTCAGTGGATAGAGCACCAGCACTGAAGTAAGGACGACCTGAATTCAAATCCAACCTCAGACCAAACACTTGACACTTACTACCTGTGTGACCCTGGGCAAGTCACTTAACCCCAATTACCTAAAAATAAAAAAAAAAGAAAAGAAAAATTAAAGAGGCCAAAAAGTCCAACTCTGCATTTTACAGATGAGGAAACTGAGACCCAGAAAGTTTTAAGTGACTTGTCAGAGATCCCACAGATAATAAGTATGAGAAGTAGGAGATGAACCCTGTTCCTCTGACTTTAGAGCCAGTCTTCTTTCCACTGTACTATGCTGCCTCCCAAATGCAGTGTTCTTTCCACTACCAAATGAGATAACTGTAAAGTGACTGGCACATAGTAAGCACCATATAAATGTTCATTATTATTATGATGCCACTCCTAGAAAAGCTAAGATTGTGTTCAGTAATACTGCATCCCTGTCAATGGTTGGTCAGCACCCTTCCCTACTTTCCTTGTAAAGCAGGGGTTCTTAACCTTGGGTCCATTAATTTTTTAAAAATGTATTTTAGTACCTGTATTTCAGTGTACTTGGTTTCTTTTGTCATACTAAGAATTTTATTTTATGCATTAAAAGCATTATTTTACCAAAAGGGCTTATGACATACAAAAGATTAAGAACTCCCACTATCAAGCATCATGGGCTTAGAGTTGTAAGGGACCTTAGAGGTCATTTAGTGAAGTCCACCACCACCCCTTTCATTTTACAGTTGAGGAAACTGAGGTCTAGAAGGTTCAATGACTTGTAAAAGATTACAAAGGTAGTAAATACCTGAGGTGGGATTTGAACCCAACTCCTCTAAGTGCTCTTTCCACTATATCATCCTGAATCAGGAGTCAACATATGGTTATTATTATCATTGGTAAGAATCTACCCCTCTGGAGTTGTGAAATGATCCAACCGTTTTGGAGAGCAATTTGGAACTATGCCCAAAGGGCTATAAAAATGTGCATATCCTTTGACCCCGCAATAACACTTCCAGGGCTATATCCCAAAGAGATCGTACTAATGGGAAAAGGACCCACATGTACAAAAATATTTGTAGCAGCTCTTTTTGTGGTGGCAAAGAATTGGAAATTGAGAGGATGCCCATAAATTGGGGAATGGTTGAACAAGTTGTGGTATATGAATGTAATGGAATACTATTGTGCTATGAGAAATGATGAACAGGCTGACTTCAGAAAAACCTGGAAAGACTTGTATGGTCTGATGCTGAGTGAAGTGAGCAGAACCAAGAGAACGTTGTACACAATAACAGCCACATTGTGCAATGACTAATATTGATAGACTTAACCCTTCCCAGCAATACAAGGATCTAAGACATCTCCAAAGGCCTCATGATGGAAAATGCTATCCACATCCAAAGGAAGAATGAGTTTGAATGCAGATCGAAGCATACTATTTGCTATTTTTTTCTTCTGTTGAGTTTTGTTTCCTCTTTCTGGTGGTTCCTCCTATTGGTTCTAATTCTTACTTACAACATCACTAATGTGAAAATATGTTTAATAGGAATGTATATGTATAGCCTATGTCAGATTGTGCACCGTCTTGGGGAGGGTGGTGGGAAGGAAGGGAGAGAAAAAATTTAAACTTGAAAACATATGGAAGTGATTGCTGATAAATCAAAATAAATTAATAAAAAAAAAATCTACCCCTCCATCATCCACTATAGCCCTAAAGGAAAGGAGTTGGAACCCTTGCCTTGTCACTTTTTAAAGATTTCCTCCCTCTCTTCAAATAAACACATAGGTTTGTAAATGTGCTTCTTTGTAACTGGTAAAGGGAGAGGATTTAAAAAAAAAAACCAGAGCCATCCCAAAATGGAATCAGCCACCACAGAAAGTAATGAGTTCCCATCAACCAATCAATCAACAAACACGAGGCATTTAGCAAACCCATATGTCAACTTGTTGGAGTTGGATGTCGTGGATAAGACTCATGCTTCAAGTAGAGATTGGACCAGATGTCCTCTGAAATCCCTTCCAAACCTGAGATTCTATGAATCTATGGTTTAATGAAACCAGAGTCATTTGAATGAAGAGTACTGAGTCTAGATTCAAAAAAACAGAAAGACTAAGGCCAAGGCAGCGTGGTGCAATAGAAGGAGAATTGGATTTGCTATCACAGGACCTGGTTTTGAATCCTGGCTCTGATGCTTGCTACCTGTGTTATTGTTGTTGTTACTAGATATGTGACCTCAGTTAATTCAATTCAACAGGTATTTAGAGAAACCACTTCCCCACCCTCAGCCTTCATTTTCCTCTTTCATAAAATGAGTAGAAGGGGCAGCTAGGTGGCACAGTGGATAGAACACTAGCCCTGAAGTCAAGAGTACCTGAGTTCAAATCTGACCTCAGACCAAACACTTGACATTTACTAACTGTGTGACCCTAGGCAAGTTGTTTAACCTCAATTGCCTAAAAAAAAAAAACATAAAAATAAAAATGAGTAGAGTTAGACAAGATGGGCTAGAGGTCCCTTCCAGTTTTAACTCCAATGATCTAACACCCAGGTGGAGAAAGAAGAGTGGGTGGGAGTGGGGTTGTGGGGGTGGGGGGCAGAGAAGGAAGGCAGGTTTGGAGAACTAAACCCTTCAGTCAAAGTGGAAGGCAAGGTTAGACCAGCAGCCCAGAGAGGAAGAGTAGAATATCAAGGCATTCAATACCTGACAAACATTCCAGGATTCATGCTTGTTCGTGCTCTTTATGTCTAAGATCTCATTTGATTTTTCTCTCACCCAGGTGGAGGTGCTGACATCTCTGAAGGCCCTAAGCCGCCACGTGGAGCAGAGCCAGCTGACCCCAGACCTGGAAGGCTCCTTCCCATACTGCCACAGTCAGTGGGTGCAATTCTTCCAGGTGTTTACAATCATGGCCTTCAGTCTCCTCCTCTTTGCCTTCTTGCTTAAAATAACAGATCCCTTCTACCCAAAGGGAAGACCAGTCTAGGAAGCTCACTATTACTTTTTGTTTCTGGCCCCATGTGGGAACCCACAGACGACAAAGATATAATCCCTGCCTTCAGTTCAATTTAATATTTATCAAACCTATGAATAAGGTTCTGTGTCAGGATACAAAAATTTTGGAATTATATAGTCCCTGCCCTCAACAACTTAGCGTTGTAACCCACTGCACATTCTAATAGAGGGATATGGCTAGAACACAGAAAGTATAATACAAAGTAGAGTGTGATAGGATCTGAAGAGAAATCCAGAAAAAGAGATCAGGGGAAAATGTGATGAGAAAGAAAACACTTTCAGTTGAGGGTGGGAAAGAATAGGGAAGGTTGTATGGAGGAGGTGGTACCTGACTGGGCCTTGAAGGAAGGAAAAGATTTGGCCAAGTGATGGTGCGGAGCCTGTCTCAGGCATGGGGGATATCCCAGGCAAACAAGCAGAGGTGGGAGAAGGCTAGTCATCCAGTGCAGTGAGAAGCTGGAGCATGTTAAGGGGGTAGTATGAAATAAAGCTGAAAAGATAGGTCAAGGCAAGATTGTGGAAGGCTTAAGTGGTAAGGGTAAGGAATTTGTGTTTTATCTTAGGAGCAATAGAGAGCCACTGAGATTTTTTTAAGCAGATATGCCATCATGATATCTATGCATTATGAGGATTATATTGGTAATTTGGAGTCTAGGAACCAAAGATATGTCCATGAATAACTATGATACAAAGTAGGGTGTAAAGATATAAGTGTGTTCAAAACACAGAACTGTGAGAAAGCAGAAGGGTAGGGATTGTATTTAGCTGGGTAGGCTTCCTGGAGGTCTGGAAGAGCTAGCAGGAAATGATCAGGCAGGGCTGGAGCAATATGAGAGAGAAAGAGCATTCCAGGAAAACAAAATAGAATGACCAAAGGCATGGGAGCAGAAAAGTGAAAGGGTTCAAGGAACACTGAGTATTCCTGTTTGGCTCTAACATAGGCTATGGAAAGAGGAACTGTGGAAAAGAAGGCCATGTAGCCAGAGGCTCTCTGGGGTGTGATAATAACAGGAACTTGGAGCACTGCTGCTGTCCTAGATAGTAAGGGAAGAGGCCACTGCTTGACCTCCTGGGGACTGGCCCAGCCTACTCTGGGCAAGTCATTCCATCCTGCTCTGTGCTTTCCAGGAGAACGGCTCAACCATTAGAGTAACATGTACTCTTGCTTAGAAATCTAATGATTTGACTGTTTCCAGTTCTAAGGGAAAAGCACTGACCCCAAGGATCATAGATTTAGGGTCAAAATATACTCAAGAGGCCATCAAGTCCAACCCTCTCATTTTATGGGTAAGGGAACTGAGGCACAGAGTGGCACTTACATAAGTGACTTGCCCAGAGTCACACAGCTAGTAAATACCTGAGATAGGATTTGGATTCATTTCTTCTACACTGTAAGTCCAGCCCTATTGACATTGCCTCTCAGAGTGTCCCCTCAAAGCTTTTAGAATCCACTGTCTTATAGAATTATAGGATTTAGAGCTGGAAGGGCCTTTAGAAATCATCTCTTTCAACCTCCCTCACTTGACAGATGAGGCCCAGAGACAATGAATAATTTGCCCAAAGTCACCTAAGCAGTAAATAGCAGAGTCAGAATTGGAACTCAGTCAGATCCTGACTCCAAATCCTGTTTCTAATAGGCCACATTACTGCCCTTGCCAGGCATGAGACCCTGACAATTAAGATGCAGTGCCACCCCTCATAGAGTTTCTAGTCTTACAGGGATAGATGAAACTACATCGTACTCTCCTACTAGTTTGAGCAGCATTGAGGACACTAGCTAGTAGGAGGGAAAGTAAGATAGAACCAAGGCCTACCAGGAGCTAATAAGGAAGTGATTTCTGCCATCTACCCAACCTCTTAGTAGGTCTGTGCCTTTCTCTTTGGATGTTTGTTTTGTCAGAGTATCCCAGTGCTTACTCTAAGAGAGACTGTACTCTATGGTATAACCACCAAAGGCTAGATGACCACTTGCTGGGGATATTGTATTATACCTGTTCAAGTACAGGTTGGCCTAGATGCCCTCAGAGATCCCTTCCAATTCTGTATAGTGATAAGTCCACTACAGTCTCCTGGGACACAGGAGACCTAGGTTCTAATGGGTCTGCCATTAACTCTGCAAAGTGGTCTTGGGCAAGTTTCCTGCCCTCTCTGAGCCTCAGTTGCCTTATCTGTGAAATTGGGGTGATCATACCTGCCTGTGAACCTCACAGTATTGTTTTTGTGAGTCAAGTGAGATAAGGGATGGAAAAGTGCTTCATAAACTGTAAAGTACCATAGAATGGTAAGCTATTATTAATTGGGTATCGCATAGATAACTATTGGTTATATTATAATGTGCAATGAGGCAATTTGACAGGCAATGTGATAGAGTGGAAAGGGCCCTGGATCTGGAATCAGATAACCTAGATTTGAATCCTGTCTCTGCTACCTTCAGCAAATCACTTAAGCTCTCTAAGCCTGAGTTTCTTCATGTGTAAAATGAGGGCGTTGAACTAGATGATAACTGAGGTCTCTTCCAGCTCTAAATCTATTTCATACACACATAGAGAAAGAGAGGGAGAGAGAGAGAGAAAGTGCGCACACAGAACAAAGTGGCACTATACTTATGCATACATATATGTATGTATGTATATGTATATGCATATGTGTATACATATATATGTATATATATACATATACATATATGTATATACAGCAAGGTGGCACAGTCGATAGAATGCTGGGCCTGAAGTAAGGAAAACTTATCTTCCTGAGTTTAAATCTGACCTCAGATACCTACTAGCTGTATGACCCTGAGCAAATCACTTAACCCTGTTTGCCTCAGTTTCCTCACTGTAAAATGAACTGGAGAAGGAAATGACAAACCACTCCAGTATCTTTGCCAAGAAAATCCCAAATGGGGTCACAAAGAGTTGGACATGACTGAACAACTAAACAACATGTATGTGTATGTATATGTATGTGTCTGTATACACACACATATATATATAATATCTATATATCCATCATACCCAATGGGGGTACACTAGAACCTTTCCCAATAAATAAGAGACAAACTAACAAAAAGAAATAAGTAAATAAAGCTGTGATTCTGTGACCCAGTTAATTTTAATGTTATAATTTACCAGTAATGACTCACCCTCCAGAAACAGCACAAAAATCTATCAAGATATGGGAGTCGTGTATCAAGATTAAAGGATAACAGATAGACAGGAAAAATATCCTATCCCAGTGTCCACAAGGCACCCAAAAATCGGGAGGCCAGTTTTTTGGGTGCATTCCCTATGGAGAATGTGATGAAGAATGGATTATTAGATTATAAACTCCTTGAAGGTGGATACTATGTTGTTTTTCCATCTTTGTCTCCCAACTGCCTTGAAAACAGTTGGCACTTAATAAATCTTTGTTGAATTAACAAGAATTAGAATCACAGGATTAGAAAGGTTGAAATCTCCAGGTTGAGTGGGGTACTCCCATTGATGAGATCCCAGCTCCATGGAAACAATGAAGAAGGTTATCATAACTGAGCCTGATATAGCTGCAGACCCTGGCAGGGGGCTTTCAACTTTTTTCAAAAGGTTTTTCATATCCATTATCCCTTTTTAGCCTCAGGACCACAGTGTGCAAGAGAAGTAGGGCAGGAATTGAGATCATATCCATTTTATGAGTCAATAAAAGCATAAGAATGTTGTCAAGCAACTTGGAAAATGGCCCCTAGAACCCAGATTTCCTGATTCTCAAAGCAGAGCTTTGTCTACATTAACACTAAAACCATTCTCAGGCAACATGAGAGAGGTCACGTAACCTCAGTGATGACTTCAGGAGAAGCCCTTATCTGCTTATAAACTTTTCTACTCTCTGCCTTCTTCAGTCAACAAAAATTTATTAAGAGTTTATTGACAATATGTGAGGCTTTATGCCAAGGCCCTGGTGTTACAAAGAAAGGCAAAAACCATCCCTGACCTAAAAGAGCTAACATTTTAATGTAACTCCACCCTCAATTCTCTGCCTTCCCTCTGCCCTCCACACTAAGCACTAATTGCCATCCCCTTGGGATCTCTTTCTTGCAGAGGGTGGACCTCTTCCTGACTGAACTCCGCAAGGTTTCCACACTGCTCCAGGATGCCATCCAGGAGTTTGAGAAGGGCAAGCCCCCCAAAGGAGTACAGGTGAGCACAGGAAACCAAACTAGGGGTGCAAGGAGCAAGTTCCAGCTAGAGTCTCACGGTCAGATTTTGAAATACATAATTATTTATATGGGAGATGGGGCAGGAATTGCTGCCCTTATTTTACAGAGCAGGAAACTGAGTCCCAAAGAGGCAATTAAATATGGCTTGCCCAAGGGCACAAAGCAAGTCAGTGACAGATCTTTGGTCTCCAGTCTCCTATCCCAGTGTCTCCTCCCTTCTGATGTGACAGAAAGGGATCCCCAGGTGTTGCAGGGAGAGTGCATGTTTGGCTGGAGTCTTCCAGATATTGAAGACCTTATAGAATGAGCTGTAGACCAGTGGAGCTAGAGAGAAGGAGTATACTCAGTGAAAACTGATGACTTAACTGCATTTGAAAAGACCCCAGGAGCCACCAAAGTCTGGCCCTGGAAAGCTTAAAGACCCCTTGTGCTATCTGAACACAGCTCTTCTACCAGCTTGAGTTATCCAAGAGGCAAGCAGGTGGCACAGTGGATAAAGCACTGAGCTCAGAATCAGGAAAACGTATCTTCATGAGTTCAAATCTAGCCTCAGTCACTTACTAGCTGTGTGACCTTGGACAAGTCACTTAACCCTGTTTGCCTCAGTTCCTCATCTGTAAAAATGGCAAGTAAATTGCAAACCACTCTAGCGTCCTAGCCAAGAAAACTCCAAATAAAGTCATAAAGAGTCAGACATGACTGAACAATAGTGAGACCAACCAATGTCCCCCCCCAAAAAAAGCCTGGGTGTACCCCTAGAGTCCAAGTCCATTGACTGAGAAAGGTAGTAGGAATGCCAAGCCTGAACTTGACTTTGATACCTCCCCATTTCCCTGCAGGAGGCAGCTCAGAGCATGACCAAATACAAGCAGATGATGGAGACCGTGCTTAGTGATGCCCAGCTGGTGAGTCTGCAGAGAGAAGGGGGAGCCACCTTAGCCAGGCTCAGGAAGGAGGCCTGCAAGCTTGGCCACTCCCAGGAAGTCAGGTATGGCAATCCCTGGGATAGGTGTCTCCTTTCACCTCCAAGTTTAGAGGGGTAGCAGAGGGACCTGGCCCCTCCTTGCTCAAGACCCACTGTCCCTCCTGGGTCCTCTATATAACTTTGTACAACTTGTTGAGTCAGAGATGGCAGAAGAGTATGAAAGTATCATGGCTCAAGACCTCTCTGGGTTTCAATAAAACTTATGAACTGCCTATCAGGGACCACAACTCTCAGCTAGTAAAACCAGTTGGTCTTAATTATATATCCATGGGCCAACATGGCATGATCTAAGCAGTGTTGCCAAAAACTTCAATGCCTAAAAGTGACTTCACTATCCATAAGGGACCTCAACCCACCAACTGTAATGATGTCTAACATGCCACCATAAAACACATAATCATATATTTAGAGTAAAAAGGACCTTTTAATACACAACATAGAAAGCAGAACTGGAAAGGATTCTACAATATAGTATGTCTGATCTCCAATGAACCTTGGGATATAAACATAAATAGAACTGGACTGGACCTTTGACTATAGACCATAAGCCACAGGATGATAGATTTAGAGATGAAAGGGTCCTAAAAATATAGAATGTAGAATGTTAGAGCTCAAAAGGACCTTAAATAGAGAATATTGCAGACCAGAGCTGGAACTGAATGAATGAATTTTTAAAAGTACTTATTAAGCGCTTACTATGTGCCAAGCACTGTAGTTAAGCATAGGGGATACAAAAAGAAGTAGAAGAAGAAGAAGAAGAAGAAGAAGAAAGATCATCATCATCATCATCATCATCATCATCCCTGGCATCCAGTGATTCACACTTGAATTGGAGAAGACAACAACTGTAGTAGAATATAGCTGCAGGGCATATGGAAAGATCCAGAGGTCCTAAGGGTGCAGCTACAGGTCAGATGGCAAGGCATGAGAGTCCTTAGGATGCATAAGGTGTATGCCGCATAAGAATAGCCCACTACCATTGGGACATGGGAAATGGGCCTAAAGACAAGAGTGGAGAGAAGATTCTGAGTTCCTTCTGGCAGGAGTGGGGATGAGGAAGGGGCCAATATCTGGCTAGGAAGAGAAAAGTGGAATAGAATATTGTCAGGAAAATAGGGAAGGAAAAAAAGAGATTCCTCTTGGTTCCATCTTTGTCTGGGGTCCTCCAGGCACCTCCAGACAGGATCTGAGATGGCTGGGGAGGAGGAAGGAGGTCCTGCTTGGTCCCAGCTCTGGCCACCTATAAGACAACTCAGACCATCAATCATGGAACATAGAATTTATCGTAGGATCATAGATTTAAACCTGGAAGAAACCTTAAAAATTATTTAGTCCAACTCTCATTTTATAGATGAGGAAATTGGGTCCCAAAGAGGTATTTATCTCACATCCTACAGGTAGTAAGTGGCATAGCTTATAATTCCAAACTAGGGCCTCTGATTCCAACTCCAGCGTATCATATCGTCCTTCATCAGAACTGGAAGGGACTTAGGGCACAGAAAGTAGAATATCAAAATATCTAAGTTCCTTGAGGATGGAAACTGGCTTTTTTTTATCTTCATATCCCCACAACTGGCCAGTGTCTTGGTCCTAGGAAGTAACAAATAAATGTTTTTTCCCTTTAATTTGTTTAATTTAATGTCAGCAACAAGTAATGTCAGAAATGGAAAGGACCTTAGAACATAGCCTGTCAGAGGTAAGAGGTGCCTTAGAAGTCACTAGGCCTAATTCCCTAATAAACAAGGAAACTGAGGCCCAGAAAGGTTATATATGACTTGCCTAAAGGCACCCAGCTAGTAAACAGCAATGTAAGATTCCAACTCAGATTTTCTGACTCTTTCCATTATGCCATTTTGCATTCATTTATAGGTTCTACCAAGATATTTCAAGCACTAAAGTGTTCTGTGGTCTTTTCATTTTGGGAAATCAAAGTGTTGTATCTCCTGGAGCAAAATGTAAACCTCCATCACTTAACCCCTTAGGACCACTAGTTTCTTGGCAAATTCCATGGGAGAGACGACAGGTAAATTTTGACAGAAGGTAGGGGATAATGAAGTGGGTGGAGAATGACAAGGTTGGGAGCAAAGCCAGGGAGGACTGGTCATCCTTAGGTCTCTGCAGTGGAGAGCCTAGGCAGCAAGAGGAAATGTGAGGGCAGCAGGAGTTTGGGGCTAGAGGGTAAGAGAGTGCCAAAAGTAAGAAGAGGGATACAGAAAGAAGAGTTAGAGAGAGCTGATGACTATCCCTTCCATATTTGCCACTATCCCTGTCACTCCGTCCTGCCAATCAGTACAGAGCAGGGGGCAGAGCCCTGGACTGGGAGTCATGGGCCTTCTATCCTCAGCTTATTCACTGGATTGAATTCCTGACTCCCCTTAAGGTAGAAAGAGCACAGTCAGAAGTCAGAAGACCTGGGATTGAATTTATGAGACCTTGAACAATTAATTCACTTACCATCTCTAGGCCTTGGTTATCTCAAGTAAAATGAGGGACCTAGCTTAGGCAGTCCATATAGTAGGAGAAGCCCTAGAGTTGACTTCCAAGGACATAGGCTTGAAGCAGAGCTCTCCTGCATCTTACCTGGATGACCCTTAGCAAGTGACTTAACCTCCAGGGACCTCAATCCTCTTATTTATAAAATGATAGTGTTAAACTAGGTGAATGGGCTCTAAGGTTTCTTCAAGTTCCTACATTTTATAATCAATGATTAGGTCCAGCTCTGACTACCTGAGTTTGATTGAGGTGTTGCCCTGGGAGTGGGGAAGTTGGATACAGGGAGGTGACCTTCCCCGTACCTGCCTCTCCCTGCCTTCCCTGCCTCAGAAGAAGTCAGTGCTAATGGTCGGGCTTCCCCACACAAAGCAGGCCTTACCCACTCAACCTGGGCAGAAGGAGGGCATTGGCCTTCCCTTCCGGACTTGGTGGTTGGACCCAGAGCGAGCACAGTTACACTACCCATCTTCATCATTAGATGGCACTGCTTCCTCACAAAGCCCCAACTTGTTTGTCTCATGGTGTTGTTACAGCTCCCAAGCCCTTTCCCCCCATCACTCAGACCAGCCCATCTTACCCGCTACGGTCCCCACCCCACTCCCATTCTCTGCCCTGCTGTGTTTGTCCGTTCCTAAAATTCTCGCAGGCAGCCCCTGCACTCAGCGCCTCACATCAGAGATGAGGTTTTATGCCCTTTCCCTTCCTCTTTGTCATTCTTTTAAAAGTGTGGTTGAAAGGGTGATTTGATCATAGAATTTCCAGCTGGAAAGGGACCCTAGAAATTATCTAGTCTGACCTCTTCATTTTATAAATGGGGAAATTGAGGCCCATGGAAGGGACAGGGACTTAGGCAAGGTCACAGCAGAGCGGGGATCATAGGATGGTGGATTAGAGATGTCAGAGACCTCAGAGTCCACCTACTCTGAGGGCTTTTCTTTGTGTCTGGGAGCCTTTTGGAAGTCTGGTAAAACCTATGGACCCCTTCCCAGAATTATCAAATAAATTACAGAGGATCAAAAAGAAAACCCATTCTATCGAAGTATAGTTATTAAATGTGGAGGAAAAAAAATTCCTAGACATTCTCCAACCCCCAGTACTTTGCAAATGAAGAAATTGAAGCCACGGACATTAAGAGACTTGACTAAAGTCACACTGATAATTACTTGTCAGAGGTAGGATTTAAGTGCAGGCCCTAGGTGGCTCAACGGATAGAGGGCCAGACCTGGAGTCAGGAAGGCTCCTCTTCCTGAGTTCAAATCTGGCACCAGACATATATTAGCTACATTACCCTGGGCAAGTCATTTAACCTGTTTGCCTCAATTTCCTCATCTGTAAAATGAGCTGGAGAAGGAAATGGCAAACCACTCTAATGTCTTGGCCAAGAAAACCCCAAATGGGGTCACAGAATCAGACACGACTGAAAAATGACTAAACAACAACAAACAACCTCTGACTCTAAGACTAATTATTCTTTCCGTTGTACTAATTTGCTGTGGTTGCTGCTGCTGCTGAATCATTTTCAGTCACGAGGTACTAAGTACTCTTTGAGATCTAGCGGAGAGAAGATCATTAGTGACGAGGGGAATCACAGAATAATAATAACTCCCACTTCTATGGTGCCTTAAGATTAAAAAAAAATTTTTTTCCTTAATATTAATGATTGCCTTTGAGAGCTGCGGAGGCAGAATGGTATGATGGGCTGAGAGCCAGCCTTAGTATCAGAAAGATCTGGGTTCAAGTCCAGCCTATGACATTCTGACCACAGGCAAATGATTTAATTAAACTCTCAGTGCCCACAGATAATTTTCTAAGATTTTAAGTTGAAGATAAAAGGAACTGCCTTATCACCAGTTCCCCATACCGGTAAAGTTGCAGATATGTTAAAACAAAATTCTTCAAACAAACCCCATTTAACCTAGGGGAAAACTCAGGCTCAATAGCCACACAGCTACTAAGTATCAAGCAAAGATCTAAACCCAGGTCTCATGACTGCTCATCTATTGTTCTTTTCCTATGTACACAGTCTCAGAGGGAAAATGTCATGATGGAGGTAACATTCTTTTTGTTTGTTTTTAGAGGTGGGGGTTGGTGGAGTTGACTTTTTAACATTCTTTTTTTTTATTTTGAGTTCCAAATTCTCTTCCTCTCTCCTGCTCCTCCGCCACTGATTGAGAAGTCAAGGGGCAGCGAGGTGACACAGTGGATAGAGCACCAGCCCTGGAGTTAGGAGGACTTGAGTTCAAATCCAGTCTCAGACACATGATACTCACTAGCTGTGAGACCCTGGGCAAGTCACTTAACCCCAATTGCCTCACCAAAAAAAAAAAAAAGAGAGAGAGAGAGACAGAAGTCAAACAATATGATACCCGTTATACATGTGAATCATATAAAACCTATTTCTGTATTAATCATGTAAAAAAAAAGAAATAAAGCTTCTACTTCCAGTGAGCACCAAATGGCAGATGACGCCGGTGCTGCTGGAGGAGCGGGAGGCCCCGGGGACCCCGAAGTTGGAGGCCAAGGTGGCTTCCGCAGTGGCTTCAGCAGTGGGGACCGAGGTCAAGGCCAGGGCCGTGGCCGTGGGGCCCGGGGAGGAAAGGCCGAAGACAAGGAGTGGGTTCCTGTCACTAAGCGGGGCCAGCTAGTCAAGGACATGAAGATCAAGTCTTTGGAAGAGATCTCTCTTTTCTCCCTTCCTATCAAGGAGTCTGAGATCATAGATTTCTTCCTGGGATATTCATTGAAAGATGAGGTTCTGAAGATCATGCCTGTTCAGAAACAAACTAGAGCTGGACAACGTACCAGGTTCAAGACTTTTGTGGCCATCGGTGACTACAATGGCCATGTTGGCCTGGGTGTCAAGTGCTCCGTGGAAGTGACCACAGCTATTCATGGTGCTATCATTCTGGCCAAGCTGTCCATCGTTCCTGTGAGACGTGGCTACTGCAGGAACAAGACTGGCAAGCCTCACACAGTGCCCTGCAAGGTCACTGGGCGATGTGGATCAGTTCTGGTGCGCCTGATCCCCACCCCTACAGGTACTGGCATCGTCTCAGCTCCTGTGCCTAAGAAGCTCCTGATGATGGCTGGAATTGATGACTGCTACACATCTGCAAGAGGCTGTACTGCCACTCTGGGCAACTTTGCTAAAGCTGCCTTTGATGCCATCTCCAAAACATACAGCTATCTAACCCCAGACCTGTGGAAGGAGACTGTGTTCACTAAGTCTTCCTATCAGGAATTCACCGACCATCTTGTGAAGACTCACACTCGAGTGTCTGTCCAGAGGACCCAGGCAGCTGCCGTGGCAACCACATAGATGATGTTTTTTTATAAACAAATAAATTGAACTATGCCTGCTAACAAAAAAAAAAAGAAAGTGGAAAAAGTGTTCTTTAATCTGCACTTAGAGTTCATCAGTTCTCTTTCTGAAGATGGATGGCATTTTTTTATCACTAGTCCTTAGGAACTGTCCGACCATTGTATTGATCAGAGTAGACAAGCCTACTCACAGTTGATTAACTTTACAATATTGCTGTTACTATGTACAGTGCTCTCCTGGTCCTTTTCATGTCATGTTCATATAAGACTTCTCAGGTTTTTCTGAAACCACTCTGCTCATCATTTCTTAGAACACAACAGTATTCCATCACAATCATATACCACAACTTGTTCAGCCATTCCCCAATTAATGGGCATCCCCTCAACTTTCAATTCTTTGCCACCACAAAAAAAGAGCTGCTATAAATATTTTTGTACATATACATTTTTATTCGATCGCTTTGGGATACAGACCTAGAAATGGTATTGCTGGGTCAAAGGGTATACACAGTTTTATAGCTCTCTGGGCATAGTTCCAAACTGTTAGAATGGTTGGACCAGTTCACATCTTGGAAGTGACATTTGAGGCAGCTAAGTAGCACAGTGTATAGAATGCTGGACCTAGAGTAAGGAAGACCTAAATTCAAATGCAGCCTTAGACATATACTTGTCATCTGACTCTGTCACACAGATAGTCATTTAATCTCAGTCTGCCTCAGTTTCTTCATCTATAAAATGAGAAAATCTATTAAAAAATAATAATAGTGTCTACCCCCCAGGGTTGTAGTGAGGATAAAATGAGACATTTGTAAAGTACTTAGCAAACCTTAAAGCACTAACTATTGTTCTTATTATTATTTGAGTTGATATATAAGGATGGAAAGGAATTCAAAAGACAAAAAGAGGAAACTAATATATTCCAGCTATAAGACAGCATTAGCCAAGGCAGAGGGGCCAACCTGCCTCCAAAAGCCTTAGAACTTTAAATATTAAAACACTACAACAGTGTCTTCTAACTCCAGGTCAAACTAGCAACTATGCAACTACAATGCAAGGCATTTTAGAGAAAGTGTCAGACCAAGTCCTATCCTCAAATTACTTATAATACTGGAAGATAATAGTCTTGAAGCAGTCAGAAAGTATTTATTAAGCACTTCTTATGTGTCAGACATTGTGCTAAGCATTAGAGATACAAAGAGAGACAAAAAACAAAAAACCAATATGCAGCCCCTGCCCTAAAGGAGCTTATATTCTAGTGGGAGAAACAACGTGTTATAGTTACATACAAGACACATACAGAGTGGATGAAAAATAATTTCATAGGTGAAGCAGCTAAGGGAACCAGGAAATACTTCCCTACTACAGAAGGTGGTATAGGTAAGGCTTAGATAAATAGCCAGCAGTGAGGATCTACTACCCTGAGTCTACCCATGCCCTCTTGTGACCAGTTGCACACTTTTACAAGATGGCTAGAGCAGTCCCTGGAGGACACATCCTAGCAGAGATGGAACCTGGGGTCCATTTTGGACTAAATGTACATTGAGGTCCCTTCCCATTCTGAGATTCTGCCCTTCGTTAATCTGTGACTCTTCCTTGGTTCTCAGACACAGTATGGCTCTGGCAATGGCCCTCTACAGTCAAGTGGAAGAAAGGGTACATGTGCTAGTGACTACGTCTAACAAGAGTTTAGACAGATTGGAATCCCTAGTGCAGACAAGTGAACTGGAGTCCGAGTTCCGCCAGGTGAGTGAGTGAAGGGGCCTTGGGCCAATGTCCAGGGGCTCTCTCCCCTAGGAAAGGGCCAAGGACCTAACATACATCTCTCCCACCCATAACATACACCTCTCCCACCTACCTATCACCTCTTAGCCAAGGAGGCAAATTTCACCTCAATATAAAGAAAAATCCCCTAATCAGCAGAGCTGTCATGAGTTCCTCTTTGCTGAAGGTCTTCAGGAGGAGGCTGGTTGATGGTCACCAGGATGTTATAGAGGAGAATCATGGTTAGGTGGAAGTTAGAGCAGATGACCTCTGAGGTCCTTTCCAACTATGGGATTCTAAGACCCCCAAGCATTCACCTGAACTAGGTTAATAATCTAGGTATTCTCTGGAGAGGAGAAGCTCCGCTTCTTCATCTTTGAGAGCTGAGGATATTCTTAGGTCCCCCCCCCAAATCATCTCTACCTCTTGAAGAGGAAGAGAGATTCTCCTTCTTCAGAGAAATAGAAGATAAAGCAGCACATCCCTGCCCCAATGCAGGGGGATGCCCCAGATGACCCTATGAAGCCTCTCTAAGGCCCAAGCTCTAGCTCTGCTGGGTTCTTAGGCTCAGTGACTCAGTCTCTTCAGTCTTAATTAATGCATTCATTCAACAAACATTTGTTAATGGCCTGCTATGCCGATGCTAGTCACTAAAAGAGAGAAAATTTTCTTTCCATTCTCACATAGTTTATAGTCTAGAGGAGAGACAAGAATAGAGTTACCCTTACAACACTGCAGGATGTAATTTTTTTAAAAAAAATTCTTAGAGGAGCAGCTAGGTGGCACAGTGGATAGAGCACCGGCTGTGGAGTCAGGAGGACCTGAGTTCAAATGTGGCCTCAAACACATAACACTCACTAGCTGTGTGACTCTGGACAAAGTCACTTAACCCCAGTTGCCTCACCAAAAAAAAAAAAAATTCTTAAGAGAGTTACAAACAAAGTACTATGTGAGGTCCCAGGGAGAAGCTTGTTATTGGCCAGGGAAATTAGAAAGGCTTCCTGGGGGAGGTGACATTTGAACTCAATAGATGAAGATGGAAGGGAGGACATTCCATGCATAGGGAATGGTGTGGAAGCAAGAGAGCACAGAACATGTTTGGGAGTCAGAGTAAAGAGTAGTTCAATTTTGCTGGATCACACAGTAGGGGGAGTGATATGGAATATAGCTAGAAAAGTAAGAAGGCATCAGAGGATAGATGACCCTGAATGCCAGCTGGAAAAATTTGAACTTTTATCAATAGGTAATACAATACATAATCAATAGGAGCTACCAGAGTTCTTTGAGCAAAAGAGTAACAAAAGAATGGAGGCAGAAAGGAGTTTGGGGAAATCAGATTGACCTACCCTGTGAGTGATTCCTCCCCAAAGGTAAAAGACTCTGGAATTGACTGGAACACAAGGCAGGCATCTCTTCAGCTGCCCACTCATACCTCATTTCATTACCTTCCCCAGATCAGTGACTGGATTGATGGGGAAGGAACTACATGGCTTAAGGCGCTGACACCTTTGGAATGGAGCTTGGAGCGTGTGGAAAAATCCCATGAGCAGTTTGAAGAATTCTTCCAACAGGCCACGGTATGTCTAGTCTAAGGAAGTTTTCATTAAGTGAGGTCAGTGAAATAATAGAGGTTTGTCGATGAGGGAAGGGAGTATTAGAGAGACAGAAATCACTGGTTACCTTAACTCCTGCTGACCGTCAGACCTCTGATGCAGGCATGCCTGAGAGAATAGGGAAGAAGTCAGAAGCGGCTGTCAAGAATTCAGTTGTGCTGGACGTTGTGAAAGAGCTATCATCGCCTGTCCCTCTGGTGTATTCTCTCCCTAAGACTTCAGGCAGTTTAGAGTACAACCCAATGCACAAGGCACACATACAATACGTGGGAACAAATGAACAAATAGAGAGGGAAAGCCAGCGAGGACACCCGATTCCCAGAGCCACAATTCTCTGATACAAAGAGGTCTTGTTCTCTCTTCTTCTAACACAACTAGATCCACAGCCACAGCATATGGATGTGTCCCTTTTTTTTCTAACAAATGCAAAAATGCTCTAGAGCCAGACCTGGGACCTTGCATTCCATGGACGCTTCATAGCCGCCTCTTGAATTTGAGCAGAACTAAGTTAAGATCTCTTCTCTTCTCCTTCAGGCTCACTACAACCGAGGCTTAGAGCTGTCAAAACAAGCGGCCAGATTACAAGGAGCTGACGCCCCAGAGATCGCAGCTTTCACAGCTGCCAAGAGCACCTTCCAGGCCAAGCTGACCCACTTCTACATGGCCATAGAAAGGCAAAGGACAGACCTGGAAACCCTCCTCCATCTCTATCGATTTTGCAACCAGGTAAATATGGTTACTCCTCCCTACTTGGAGACAGAGCTTGAAGTGTGCAGTCTTGTAAAGAGCTTTGAATCTATAGTTGGATGACTGGGTCCTAGGTTTACATTTCTTACCTGGATGACCCTAAGGCAAGTCACTTTCCCTTTGTGAATCTCAGTTTGTGATTATCATTAGAGAGCATTTGTTCAATTATAACGTCAGTATAATAACACTTGCCCTACCTATCCGCCTCATAGGGAGAGTATGAGATAGTAAACTGTAATGTAGATATGAATTATTTTCACTTTCTTTTTTGTCTCTGGTGGACAAGATGATATGACACTCTGCAATGACTTCAGGGTCCTCTCAGCCATGCTGGGATCAACATTGGCCTATATATCATCTAATCCATATATGGTTCTCCAAGTAGCCCATTAGAGAACATGGATTAATAGGAAGAACTTTGGATGTAGAGTCAGAGGACTTGAGATCTAATCTCATATCTACCACTTACCAAGCCATGGAACCTTGGGCAAGGTCTTCTCTCTGGGCCTATTTCCTTAGCTGTAAAATAAAATTGGACTAAATGATGTATAAGATTCTTTCAAGTTCTATAAGTTATGAGGACCCTCCCCTGCACTCTCCCCTCACCACCACAATTTGTTAGAGTATTCTGGGTTTTCTCCCTCCCCTTGGCCAGCATTTAACCAAAAGGGGTATAGATTATAGTAGATAAAGGAGGGAGACCAGTTGTGTGATCTTGGGAAAGTCATGTCCTCCCTTGGCCTCAGTTTTCTATGAGAGGCATAGACTAGATTTTCTCTAAGATCCCTTCTGGTTTGCAACTCTAATGACCCTAAAGATGCTGAGGACATGTGTGTGAGTGTGTGTGTGTGTGTGTGTGTGTGTGTGTGTGTGTGTGTGTGTGCATGAAGTTGGAAGTAGGCTATAAATGAAGAAATTAGTGGATAGTAAAAAGAAAGATCCTCTTATATTCCTCTGGAATCTACTGGTGAGTTCTTGGCCTGGAAGAGGGCATATGATGCTAACAACAAAGAATCCCAGATTTAGAACCAGAAGAGGCCTGATAGAAGTCATCTAGCCCAACCCCCTCAGTTTGCCAGGGACCAAAATGAGACCCAGAAGTTACTTAGCCAAATTTACACAGAATCTTAAGACTTACAGGTAGAAGGACCTTTAAAGATCATCTGTCTTGGAGATGGCAAACAACAGGGCCAAAGCCAGCCGGCTACCTGGTTTTATACAATCCATTAACTAAGAATGACCAGATTTAGTCCATGGGGTATAGTTTGCTGACACCAGAGAGAAGAGACTTGCCCAAGGTCATGTATGTTGTAGCAAGTGATAAAGGAAGGACTTGAATCAAGGTCCTCTGACCCCAAATTCAGTGCTCTTTTGACTCCACCATGTTAGCAATTGACTTCAATGTAATCCTGGTCAAGTCACTTAACTTCTAAGCGCTCTAGTCAACTCTCTTAAGACCATAAGGTATCAGGCATCTAGGTGGCACAGTGAACAGAGCATCAGCTCAGGAGGACCTAAATGCAAATCTGACCTCAGACACTTACTAGCTGCGTGTGACCTTAGGCAGGTCATTTAACCCTGATTGCCTCTAAGGAAAAAAAAAGAAACAAAGACCACAAGGTGTCTACCTGCATTGATAAGTTTTCTCATCCAAGAGTTCTGGATACCAGTAGAACCACACAAGTAGTGCCCATCCCTGTCCCTCTCTTCTGCTTCCTCCCTGAATCTAGGAGGAGAGGGTGGAGGAAGCTGAAGGCCAAAAGAACACAAAGTCCCTTAAAACTGAACATTCTATGGGGAGCGGAGTGTTCAACGGGAAAGACTGATGGCATGTCTGTGAGAGGAAACTCATAGACAACACCCTCAGGATCTGGAGGAGAGTGGGAGGGCATAAGATCATCCGGATCAAGGAATTTTAAGTCAGAAGGGGCCTTAGAGATTATCTAGATCAATCCCCCCATTTTATAGATGAAGAAACTGAATACCAGACAGATGAAGTGATTTGCTCTTCATAATAACAGGAAGAACAGGAAGAACTCTGGACTTGGAGTCACAGGACCTGAGATCTAATCCCACATCTCCTACTTACTAAGCTGGGTGACCTTAGGCCTGTGACCCATAATTTATTTTTACATGTATAGTAAATAGGAAAACAAGGATTCAATCCCAGGTCTTCTTCAATGTTCTTTCCCCAGCCCCATACCACCTGCTCTGAGATAGTGGTGGTTTAACAGGGAGTGTTGCTGTGATTTTTATAAACACCCTTTGGAAGGCTGGTAGATGTGTGGCTGGCCTAGGCAGCCTCATTAGCCAGGGAGAGAGAATGCCAACATCTCCTCACGCACGAGCTCTCAGGGCAGGCTTCCAGGAGGAAGTGGTAGAGGGCTTTGGGCACCGGACAGAAAGGCAATGGTCTGGCACCTAGGAATTACGCAGCTCTGGCAGACATGACAGGCTGGGAAAGAAGGGCGAGAGATGGGAGTGGCAGTGGTGAGTGGCTTGGTGATACAGAAGCCACACCGCCCTAAATAATACTAATATAATCATGCCACAAACTTGGATTGATGTCACCCTTTCCCATCTCTGGGCTCCATGTGCTTCCATGTATATTAAGTCATTTATCTAAAAACAAGTTCCTTTAATCCGTGGAAAGATGGTGCCTCTGGAGAAAATGTTTCTACACTGCACGCTGCCTAACAGCTCTCTGTCGGATACTAAATTAATGGAGGGAAAGATTAGGTTTTTCACAAGCTGCTGAAAATTGGTTACATTCATTGCTATTTGCATCTGTTTTGCAGGAGGAATGAAGCACCCCAGGGTAAGAGCCCCCAGCCAGACCAATGCTCCCTTAGCCCATCTGTTTAGGGCTCAGTGGATATTTTGATGAAGGTCAGGATCAGCCTTCTTAATGAAAACTATCTCAAAAAGTTAGGGTTGTTCCCCAGATATCCTATGCTTTTGCCAATTCACTTCATGAATTAAGCTAAAACCTCAAAATCTATAGCTTCATAACTGGGACTCTAGAGGTCATCTAATTTGACCTCTTCCCCAAAGCGTTGGGGGGGTAATGGGAAAAACCCTGGATTTGGAACCAAGCGACCTCAGTTCTCATTCTGGCACTAAAAAGGCTTATCATCCACATCCCAGATCATCCACTGGGCCTTAGTCAGATAGGGCTAGAGGAAGCATCAGACTGTCTGGGGACTCTTATCCTGGGGTGTTTCCTTAAGGACTGATCACTTCCCTCTGGTCCTCACTGGCAAAATAAAGGGACTGAACTAGATGTTCTGAGCCTTAGATTTTTTCATCTGCAAAATGAGGATAATAATACTTGAATAATACTTGATGACAGGAAAAGCATAGCAAATCCCAGAGCATGCTAGAAATGAGTCATTACTATTATTATGCAGGAATTCCATCTATAGTACCTCTCCAATGATAGGAAGCTCACTGCTTCCTGGGGCAGTCCCCTCCATTGCTGGATAACTATAATTGTTAGGAAATTCTTCCTGTACTGAGCTAGAATAATAAAAGCTGACATTGATATGGAGTTATAAGGTTTGCAAAAGTTGTAACACACTATTTCATATGCTCCTTCCAACCACCCAGTGAGGTAGGTGTTCTAGGTACTACAGATAAGAAGACATTACAGATGAGAAGGAGGTTCAGAGAGAAGGGACTTGCTCATAGTGGCAGGATTTGAACCCAGGTCTTTTGACTCCAAGTACAGTATAGCTTCCATCTACTGCTCTTGGTTCTTGAATTTATTCATGTAGTCAGTCTCTTAGACTTCTTAAGGAGATTAGGTTGTTAGTTAAGTAATAGACAATGCAAGAGTGAGTCATATCAATCAATAGGAAAGATTTTTTAAAGTAACTATCCTGTAGATACGATGACAGTAAGATAGTTCCCTGCCCTCAAGGAGCTGACATATTACTGGCAGAGTCCAACAAACTCTGCAAAAAGTTGGGAATCCCTTTTCTTACCTACTCAGGCTGCCTTTGGGCAGGATGCTAGCAACCACATCCTAAATTACTACAACTCCCTGCATTCCTTTCTCCCTGCGTTCAGCCTCTCCCCTCTCCAAGCTAGCCTTCACAGACTGCTGCACTGTCCTGATCATAAAATAAAATGTAAGCCACTTTGCCTGGTCATCAAGTCCCTTCACAACTTGGCATCTACCTACTTACCAGGATAGATTATCTCTCTCTGTGCTTGTGTCTGACGCATACCCAGGCCATCGTCAGGCGTCTTGACTTTTTTCTTACCACTGGACCTTGATGACTCTGGAAGAGAGAGTGAGGCTGGCGACTTTGTGCAACTCTGCCTCACTTCAATCCAATTGATGCATGAGTCGAGACATCATCCTGTAATATCATAGGTCCTCTTTGAAAATGAAGGACAAACAACAACAACAATAACGCTTTGTTCATGCCATCCCTGGTGTCTGTGGTGGAAATCCTTCCACCCCACACGACATGCTATGTTCCTTCCTTTAAAGCCAAGCTTAGACGCTACCTTCTTCAGGAAGCCTTCCCTTTCTGCCTTGCCCTACGCTGTCCCTCCCCAGCTAAAAGTGAGATTTCCTTCCTCAAATTTCTTTTTCCCCCCCTGTTTATAGAAAAAAATATGCATTTTTATTGTTAGCATACCTATTCTTAAACTGTCAACATTCCTCCCCTTCCCTCCTCCTCTATTCAATAAACTCCAGTAACTCCCTATGGCCTCCAGGAGCAAATACAAAATGCCCTATTTGGGGTTCAGAGCCTTTCATAACCTAGCCCCCTCCTACCTTTCCAGTCATCTTAAACCTTACCCCCCAACACTTACTCTTTAATCCAGTGACACTGGCCTCCTGGCTGTTTCACAAACAAGACATTCCATCTCTCCACTTCAGACATTTTCTCTGGCTGTCCCTCATGCCTGGAACATTCTCCCTCCTCTGCTCTAACTGCTGACCTTCCTGGCTTCCTTTAAGT